AAGGGACGTGCGTCCAACGTCGTCCCTCATTTTCAGACGGCTCATCAGTGCCGTCCTCATCGCCAGATGAGCGCCCAGTGCCGCCCTTCATCTTCAGACGACCGGTTTCATCAGCGCCATCGTCCTCAGATCACGGTAGACCCCTCGGTCTCAACGTGATCCTTCATTTCAAGACCGGCCTCCTCAGCGCCGAGCGTCTTGAGCTAGCGAGCGGGCTCGCCATTCCCTTCCTAGATGGCGACCCTCGCCTTCATGCGACGAGCGGCTTCATCAGCACCCTCGTCCTCAGGTCACGGCAGACCCCTCGGTCTCAACGTGATCCTTCATCTCAAGACCGGCCTCCCCAACGCCGAGCGTCTTGAGCCAGCGAGTAGGCTCGCCATTCCCTTCCTGGGTGGCGACCCTCGCCTTCATATGATGAACGGCTTCAACATTGCCTCGTCATCGTATGACGGACTGGCTCCCCAACGTCGTGCATCCATACATCACGAACGGCCCTGGCCTCAACATGATCCTTCATCTCAAGACCGGCCTCCTCAACGCCGAGCGTCTTGAGCTAGCGAGCGGGCACGCCATTCCCTTCCTGGATGGCAACCCATGTCTTCGTGCGACGAGCAGCTTCATCAGCACCCTCGTCATCCGATCATGGCAGACCCCTCAGTCTCAACGTGATCCTTCATCTCAAGGCCAGCCTCCTCAGCGCCGAGCGTCTTGAGCTAGCGAGCGGGCTCGCCATTCCCTTCCTGGATGGCGACCCTCGCCTTCGTGCGATGAGCGGCTTCATCAGCACCCTCGTCCTCAGATCACGGCAGACCCCTCGGTCTCAACATGATCCTTCATCTCAAGATTGGCCTCCTCAGCGTCGAGCGTCTTGAGCTAGCGAGCGGGCTCACCATTCCCTTCCTAGATGGCGACCCTCGCCTTCATGATACGAACGGCCTCCTCAGCGCCCTACGTCCTCAGATCACAAACGGCTCTTTATCAGCGTACGTCCTCAGATCACGAACGGCCCTTCGGCCTCATCATGATCATCTATCTCAAGACCAGCTTCCTCAACGCCGAGAGTCTTGAGCTTGTATGACAATTGGCTTCATCATCGTCGTCGTCCTCAGATCACGAACGACTCCTCAGCCTCAGCGTGATCATATATCTCAAGCCCGGCTTCCTCAGCACCGTGAGTCCTGAGCTTATATGACGATCGGCTTCATCGATGTCTCGTTATCATTCATTGGACTGGCTCATCATCGCGGTCCATACGTCACGAACGGCCCCCGGCCTCGACATGATTATCCATCATCAAGACCGGCTCCGAGCACCGAAGTCTTGTTATAGCGAATGGGCTCGCCATCCCTTCCTGGATGGTGACCATCGCCTCTATAGGACGACCGGCTTCATCACTGCCGTTGTCCTCGGGTAACGAATGGCCCCTCGGCCTTCACGTGATTCCGTATCTCTAAGACCAGTCTTAGCCATTCCTTTACCGGATGGCGACCGTTGCATGGATTTGGGACCGGCCCCTCAGTGCCATCGTCCTCATATCTCGAGATCGGCTCCCAATGCCGAGGTACTGTTATAGCGACTGGGCTCGCTAATCCCCGCCTGGATAGCGACCGTCGCCTTCATATGACGCACGACATCGTCGTCCTCATGTCCAGACAGGCGTCCACCGCCTCATCCTCATATTCAGACAGGCTCGTCCTCTTATTCGGACCGGCTCATCAGCGTCGTCGTCCTCAGCACCAGGTAGGCGTCTCCTCAGCAGATGGACACCGCTGCAGCTCCACACCGAGGCCGAAGGGTTCACCCCCTTGGAGTTCATTTTGGGGGATCCGGTGTGCTCTTTTTCCCTCATTAGGATTTTTTCCCACCGGGTTTTCCCTAATGAGGTTTTTAACGAGGCATCGCCTCATTGTGGATCAAAAGGTGTCGACCCTCGGCCCCCTATTTGAAGACGTGCATTGCTTTACTCCTCTTCACCGCACTACATGAGCCTCGAGGAGTGAGGGACTGGGGGACTACATCGGCCTTCACATACAGGAAAACATCCAGAAAGCAACAGCAAGCAAGGACTACCAAGTGGTACCTCCGTCGGCCATGTCTCCATCGGCCAGAGGAAGGTCTGGGGGACTACATCGGCCTCCAGCGCAAAGATAAACAAGTTCAAAAATGCAACCAACACAAGCCTATGACAATGGTACCTCAACGTCCAATAGCCATGTGGTCACCCTTCGGCCAAGCCGAAGCGCAAAGCAGGACGCACATCGTCCTCAATGTCAAGGACACACATCGTCCTAAAGATCAAAGGCACATATCGTCCTCGAAGTCAAGGACACTCCTCGTCCTCAAGGCCAATGTCATGCAAAGTTTCCGGGACAATGGCATTCATCGTCCTCGAAATGAAGGGCATTCATCGTCCTCGAAATGAAGGACATTCATCGTACTGGAAATGAAGGGCATTCATCGTCCTCGAAATGAAGGGCATTCATCATCCTCGAAATGAAGGACATTCATCGTCCTCGAAATGAAGGGCATTCATCGTGCCCGAAATGAAGAGCATTCATCGTCCTCGAAATGAAGGGCATTCATCGGCCTCGAGATGAAAGACATTCATTGTCCTCGAAATGAAGGACAGGCAGCCAATAATTATGGCACCGCATCGGCCAGGAACACTAGAACTCTCAGGTAATCCTCTGTCGGCCAAAGCGTCAGAACAATAAGGATCTACTCCCTTTCACTTCGTCTGCATCTCAGCTCAAAGAGTGAGGGACTCCTGATGGAGTATATGTGTCCAGACCCCATGACCTACATACTTAGAAGACTAAGAGGAGCACAGCTGTCATCCATTGGGCCCTCCGTCGGCCAGATGGCACCCCATCGACCGAAGAAGAGTCAACCCGGAATACGCTCCAGAAGCCAAGGAGAAGACTTGTCCTCCGTCGGCCAGTGCCCCCGTTGGCCAGAGGTTTCCGTCGGCCATGTCTCCGTCGGCCGAGCATCTCCGTCGGCCAGAAAGAACTTATAGAACTAGACTTCTGATGTAATCAGCCCAGTAGAGGCCCCATTGTAAATGGACCTCCCAAGCCTAAGGCTTGGGAGCCCAGCCCACTTTTCCACTCAAATACTCCTCTTGGGAGCCATGTAAAGGGCAAATTATACCGTGCAACCGGCGCACCATGAGAATGGTGCGCCCGGTTGCAAAATGACTCAACATGCTGTTTTTTTTTTTTGCTTTTATTTTTTAAAAATGATAATAACTTTTTTTATTTTTGATCCGATTTTTATAAAATTTATATCAACATTTTTTATTTTTCATGACCTTTCAAATGAGACCAATATTGCTTATGTAATTTTAAGAAATTATCGAACCATTATATTAATGAGTATTGGATTATAAGGAAAATCGAATCTGTTTAGGAGATAGGTTTGTGAAATAGAAGATCGAATCTTTTTGGGAGTGGATCAGTGGTCTCAGTTACATTTGATAATACATTGAGTTACATCTTTTTATGAGCGAGTTACATCTTTTTATAAGCAAGTTACATCTTTTTATAAGCGAGTTACATCTTTTTATAAGAAAGATACATCTTTTTATAAGCGAGTTACATATATATACACACGAGTTGCATTTGACATGCCTGAACGCGACTTACATATATTTACACGTAAAGTTACATATTTTTACACGTAAAGTTACATATTTATACACGCGAGTTACATATTTATACACACGAGTTGCATTTTATCTGTCTGAACGCGGGTTACATATTTTTTTACGTAAAGTTACATATTGTTACACGTAGAGATACATATTTATACACACGAGTTGCATTTGGTCTGACTGAACGTGAGTTACATATTTTAACACGTAAATTTACATATTTTACACGCAAATGTTAATATGTTAAAATTACATAGACAATATTGGTCTCATTTGAAAGATCATGACAAATAAAAAATGTTGATATAAATTTTATAAAAATCGGATCAAAAATAAAAAAGTTATTACCATTTTTAAAAAAAGAGAAAATAATATCCAATGGGTGCATGATGCTCACCATGCACCCGTTGCACGATATACGCACTCCATGTAAAGGGTTCACAAATTCATTAATAACATTGCACTTTTCTTTCTAGCTCTCCCTTCTCTCTAGAATATATACTCTATCATATATATATATATATATATATATATATATATATATATATATATATATATATATATATATATATATATATATATATATATATATATATATATATATATATATATATATATATATATATATATATATATATATATATATATATAATCTTAATTTTATCATGACACTAGAGGCAAAACTAGGGGACCAACCTAGGCTCTGACCTGCCCCAAATAAAAAAATGTCTTAATTGTTAAGGTAAAAAATTCAGTGTAAACATTTTTTCAAAAATATTCTTTGTATCGGCCAAGAGTCCTTACTCCGCACGTGCATGAATGTTGCTCTATAATATACGGAGTGTCTTAATTTTAATGAATGAACCTGCACGGGTAGCGCAATTGGTTCAGTGGTGGAAAAATTGGAGGAATGACCAAGGGTAAAAAAATCTGCAACAGATGTGTGGAGGTTGCAGCTCTTTTGTGTTGAGCTAGACCTTCAGTGTGCAGGAGTATAAGGTCTACCACTTTTGGACTAAGTGAGTCATTGTAATTTACAACCTCTTATACGTCCTATCGGAGTTGAAGTGTGAGGTCTCGGGGTTAGGGATTCAACCTTCCGGAGGAATTTTAAAGAATGTATAATATACGTAGTGCATCACTTCTTACTAATCCATGTCAAGTTACCCCGGTCAACTCATAGTTTCACATGTGATTCAAGTTGATTTACTATTGCATAATTGTAAAATCATGCAACTTCACTATTTAAATCGCGACTTTAATGACATTCACAGTTGAATATCTTAACAGGGTGCTTCACTCTTGTAGTTTTTGTCTTTTTGAACATCCGAGAGGAAAGAGTGGACTAAAGATAGATGTACATTTATGTAATGTTTATTGTTTACTTTATTACACTACACATGTTTATTGAGTGATGAAAAGTTGTTTACCTTCTTCCACTGCCCAATAAAAACATGCTACGTAGAAATGTACACAACAAACGCGTTCAAAAAGTGTACATTAAGAATCCATCTGGCCTACCTTCTTTTCTTAACAACACACCATTTGACCAATGACAGAAAAACGGCTACTTTCCCTGTTTGGTACACACATAGACTAGATACACATTATCTCTAGCAGACTAAGCTATGGCGAACTCCAGCACCTTTAGCTATTACCAAACTAAAAATATTTATCCATTATCTAAGAACATAACAAAACCACACAGGTAGCAACCAAAGAAATGAAAAGCCAGTGCAGAACAACACTATAATCTTCTGCTGCTGCATGCCACAAAGAGAACAGTGGAGAAGAGATGAAGGAGAGGATGCTTCATCCGCCACCTTCTTCGGTTTATGTGAGCCAAACTAATTATGGTTTATGAGCCACCTTCATTATCCATTGGTGGTCTCTATAGCCCCTAAGAAAACTATGTTCCAACTCCTTGCTGGATTCTCAATTTAGAGATCAAAAAACCATCCAGGCTCAGGAAGGACCTGTGAATGATTGATTATACATGCTCTTTCTACTACCGAGCATAAAAAGTAAGTACCATGTCTGATATACCCAACTAATTGAAATTATTAAATAAACTACCCTTCTAATTGTACCTCCTACTTGGTTAACCAATTAGAAACTGCTTCTTTCCATATAAACGGCTGACGGAATCAGGTTTCCAACTTCCAGACAGCACTGTTATCAACACTACCTTCATGAGTTGTCTCCAGAGCTGCTACCTTGGCACACTTACCAGGTTCATCCTGTGGAGGAGGAAGTTCACATGCTTCACTTAAAGAACCTGACCTTAAATCAGCAGGCGGGATGAAACAATCAACTGATAAGCCAGGAACGTTAAACGCGACCTCTTCGATTGTCCAAGCTTCTTCCATCCTGGTTTTGGTATGACTCATAGCCATCTCCCCAAAACGGAAGAGTGTCACGACAGAATGGCCGGAGTGGGCAATCATGATTCCTTCCACAGGACGGTAGTCATCCAAGAAAGAGTTAATGGTTGTTTCCCAGTAAACAGCTTCTCCTCCATTTGTTTGGATGCGGGTGAGATGCGAGTCCTCCATGTGAATGAGAAGCCCAGTCTTCTGGCTGAAGTAGCCAAAAAGAGCATGCCTTATTATCTCTGCAGCTCCTTCGCTTCGGGCCTTCAGTGTATGGGGGTCGGTACAGAGCTTCAAGATGAAGCAGTCCTCCCCCCTGATTTTCTTCTCCCCTATACATCGAGCATTCGCAAACAAACTTGCAGTCGTTCTAGGATCCAGGCCCTAAAGAGAGTATAAAACTTATATAGTATGAGTATTGTTAAGCAAAATAACAAAAATTAGAAAAACTATTAAAATATCTAAAACTCTTATTACGAAAAGCTCCACTAAATTTGAAAGTAGTCATTGTGGACAAAATTTTACAATCAAGGAAAACTACTTTGACCGCGTACTAACAGTACTGCTACTGCTACTATCTCCGCCGGCAGAGACAGCAGCTGTAGCTGAACCTGATAATAGCACTCACTGTTGATGGTATTGTCAGACTGCAGTACACTAGTACCGGACGTAAGCAGTGGCAGCGACGGTGAATAGTAGCACTCTCCATCGGCAGTAGCACTGTACAATAACATCTGCACTGGGTAGTAGCAGCCAACGGCATCGCTAAACGGTATTAGTCAACAGCAATGAAGATACTGGCACCCACCTAAGGTAACGACCTGGCAATTGCGGCTACACAGAATAGTATAATCCGCCGTTGGCAGCATCAATTCATAGTAGCAGCCAACATTAATACCGAAGCTGAATAGTAGCTGCCATCGACGAAGGTGGCAGGGCTACTTCTAAAACACCTATGATGTTGTTGGGTATTGGTTGATGGTGCTACAATTAAAAGACTTAATGATGTCATTGTACTGTTGCTGATGTCCTTATTTGTATAAAGAAAGTTGAAGTCTTGAAGATGAGGTTTTTGTATGAAAAAAATTCAATAATGTTACGGCTATATGTAGTTTTCCCTAAAGATTGTTTTTAGACATAAAACTTATGATCACATTCTCACCTGTAGGGCTCTTCTCAACGGCCGCACTGGACCTTTTGCAGTGTGAGCACCGATCCATGGTGTGTGTCTCCATACAAGCTTACCATTACAGCCTGCGTGAACTTTGCTTCCACCGACTGCAAGCTCCACATACCACATGTCAGGATTCATTTGCCACAGGACGAACCCACCAGACTCTGCCGCACTCCTCCGATTCTTCACCACCTTTGTCGGAGTTTCTATTTCAGTAGCCAGCATCTTAACCTTTCCCATGGCATATGCATTCTTTATGGATTTCTGCAGAAGCTTCTGCCCTCCACAAGCTGCAGTATATTGCTGCAAAATGTACTGAGCAGAAGATGTTTCCTGGACACAACAAAAATGAAGCAACCATCAATTTAGTAAATTAATACGGGAAAATAAAAACAGTTGAAGAAAACAACAGTTCAGTAGTTTATCATCATCTTACAATGGGAGTGTCTTTGATGCTAAGATGAGGGAGAGGGTCCGAGGTGGTAACGTGGACAGGGGCGAGAGGAGCACCCATTACTCCCAGTAGAAGCCTGAGATCAGACTTCCTCCGGCTGTACCCATTGAAGGCTATGGAGGGAGTTCGACTGAGCTGTTCCTTCATCCAGCTGGTCAATCCTGACCCGACCCGTTTCGACTCTCCTATTTCTCCGCCGTCAAGATCAGGACCCTCCATCAGCGGCGTCAGGGTCTCGCCGAGGGGCCTAAGACTTCCCGATCTCGAGATCAAAGTATCGTCATTTACCACAAAATTACTGCTTCCGCCGAAACTCCTCTTCCTCCACAGCAGCCTAGAGAGAGGCGACCCGCCTCTAGCCGGACTTTCCGACCTTGAACGCATAGGAGACAAACCCCTAACCACATCTTTCTTCAAAGCCGAGAAGAACCCTTGTTTACGCTCCATTATTCAAGAAACCTCGGCAGGGGATATGTAAATCTATACACCGACGAAATAACTATCAATACATAATGCTATCTTAAAGACTCGACGCATAAGGAGAATGTGGTTAAAGAGTTGTGCTGGCCTGAGGAGTGAGACATGCTCCGTACTAAAAAGCTAAGAGCTTGATTCAAAGCCGGCAATGGGGGAGAAATCTGGGTCAGTTCAACAAAGAGATTTCAATGTGAATGCTTGAGAGCAGAAACACTCTTCTGGGTGAAGAAAACTATGCTGGACAGAGTAGAAAGAAGAAAGGGAGTGAGGAGGGATGGTGGGTGTACTGGTGACCTCTTGTAGAGAGTGTGAGATAAAGTGGAGGAAAGAACAGTGGGTTGCTCCCTGAAGGCTGCTGCTTTGTGTGACAGTGGGAAGTGAGAACAGCAGCATTTGTGGATCCACGCGCGGAAAAAAGGCAAGAATGCGGTGTGCACATGATTAGGCTGTGGATTTCCCTAATCCTCCACTCCAATTCGAATAATCCTAGTTTCAAGCAAACCAAATCATAGGTACATAATAGTAAAATACATATAAAAACACACATCAACAACACATCATCATTTCAGATCAGATCAGATCACATCTGATTAAAAAATTGCAGTCGAATTAAAAGTATCTTAAGTGCCGATTGGATAAACATATTTCGAAACCCGTCTTTTTGTTAGATCTTATCAAATATTCATATTTTTGTTTCATTAATAAAATACGTACATTTGAATGAGTTTTTCTTATTGAATTTGTTAGATGTGTCAACTTTAACTTTTTGTCTTTTTCATGTGATTTTTCTTTATATTTCCGATCAAAACAAATTATTTGTTCATGCATGGGCGTCTCTAGCTTGTCGATCATATAAGCTTTCTCGAGCAACAGGATCATGACTTTATTTCAAGATTTTGAGATTTTAAGTGATCGTTTGAGTGATTTTGAGGCACTATCATTTCTAGATCTTGTTTCTGGCATTTGTTTTTATTATGCACTTCACTTCTCACAAAGGGTCACTCCCTCCATGAATCACCACCAACTTTTGTGAGTAAGGGAAGGTGATAACTTTTGTGCATTAACCTTGTCATGAATCCGCGAACTTTCATATTTTTGGACTCGCTTAGCTACATAGTTATGTATTCAAATGGAAGTCATATCATTTTAAAACAAATTAGTTATTAAGGAGGTGAATATCATTCATCCAACACATTACTATGTAGTCTCCAAATTAATGTAGATTCATATAAGCATCCCCACTGTTGAGGAGTGCATTATCATGAGAGGTTGCATCACATGGTAGTGCTAGTGTGTTGGGTGGTTAGTCCTTGATCGCTTACGTTTTCTCGAATCAAAGGGTGATGCTAACCCCCATAAGGCTAAGAATAACCCCTAGCACTAAACTTGCGATCAATCTTGTGACTTACTCTCATACTTTAGATACACATACATAAAGATTTTGGATCAAATTAGGAGAAATGTCTTTATATTACTACGTACGATTTATACTTTAAATACACACACACATAGAGAGAGAGAAAATGTCACGTGAGAAGCGTGTCTTCGGCTCAAAATTGTAAAGTTTTAACTAATAGAACCAACAACATTATAAAAATCATATTATAACTCATAACTCAACAACACAACCCTAAATAAAAAAATATGGTTTCATAGCGATAAACTGTGAGCGTGTGAGACAAGAATAAAACAACGATGAAAAAAACTAGCACTTGATACTCTATGGTTTTTATTTTTGTTGACCCATAAATGCATTCAAAGCACTTCTTTTCTGGTGAATTATTAATTCGTTAAATTTTACTTATATCAACTTCTATAAAAAACATAACCTCATGTGATAAATTAAGTAAGTATATGACAAGTATGAGACTACCATGAAAACAACGAATAACATTTGATGGAGTATATGGGTCTGGACCCCAGGACCCACATACTCAAGAGGACAGAAGACACAACTGCCACCTAGTGGGACCCTCGTCGTCCAGATGACCCTCATCGGCTGGAACGAAGTCAACCCAGAATATGATCCGGAAGTCAGAAGAACCGGGTGACCTCATCGGCTGGGTCTTCGTCGGCCACGCACTCGTCGGCCAGACCCTCGTCGGCCATAAAGGACTCCCAGAACAGGATTCTGTACTTAATCATTTGTATACTCTATCATTTACTTTGTATTCGGCCCAATAGTGGTTCAGTTGTAAATGGGCCTCCCAAGCCCAAGACTTGGGAGCCCAGTCCTAATTTTTCCTATAAATACTCCCTTTGGGAGTAGTTGTGGGGGTTCTGAAATTCATTAATACAGAGCAATTATACTACTTCTCTATCTAGCTCTCACTTCTCTCTAGATTTACTCTATCATTTGGTGCTTTCATTGAGAGTTAGAACAATCAAGTTAGCCTCCTTCGTCGCTACCAAGCACAGCTAACTGACAATGGGAAGAACTAAGTCTAACCGCAACCTCCTCGGCAAGGCCATCCCTGAGGCCCAAGAGAACCAAGAACACAAGGAGGAAGCCACGACCGACAAGGCCGCCGAGGGGGATGTCTTCCAGGAAGCCATCGACCTCGCAGGAGACTTGCGCAACAAGCTCACGGCGGTGCCCCTGATGCCCGCATCGGCTTGGATAAGAAGCGCGCGGAGAAAGGCGACAATGCCTCGGCGCAACCGGCCTCTCCTGCCGTTGACCCTCAGCTTCAGGCCGCGCTCTCGGCCATCATCGCCAGCTTGGCCCAGAACCCCACCGTCCTCAGCGTGCTCATACCGAGGACTGGGGAGAACACTACACCGCCTCCTCAGCCCCAGCCGTTGGCCGTCAAACTAGGCAACGACGAAGGGGTGGTGGCCCAGGACACTTCGTCATCCCACTCCCACCCTACTTCCCCACTTCGAGCTGGACCGGCCCTAGCTTGTGGAAAAGCCTCAGCCTTTAACAGGCTAGGTGACACGTGCCGTCAGCTTGCTTCAGAGAGGATGGCGGGGCGGATTGGGCGGCGTGAGCCTGGCTCACCCAGGGAAAGTTTGGGGTTGGTATCCCGGACAGCGGATCGGCCCCGCCTGGACAAAGGCAAGGGGAAGTTGCATGAGGATGATGCCCGCCATCAAATCAACACGGCTCATGCAGCCCGCTTGCAAACACAGGGCGCCACTACGGCCGCCAGGGACCCAGGGACGAGGTGATCGCCCAACTCGAGCGAAGGCTCGCCCAGATGGAGGCGAAACAGTTGGCCGCCACACCCACCGGCAACTCGTCCAGAGATCCCGGCTTCAACGCTCTTCTGAACAAGGTCACTATCCTTGAGAGGGAGTTGGCCGAAGGACGAGGGGACCCCATCATCTAGGTCAGGGCGAGGACCCCCTTCACCACCAGGTACTCTCGGCCCTTATCCCCGAGAAGTACCGGGGAACGCTATCAAGCCCTATGACGGCCGCTCCGACCCCCAGGAGCACTTCAGTCGCTACCAAAATAGCATGCTGATGGTGAACGCGTCAGATGAATACCTCTGCCGCTGGTTCCTCTCCACCCTTGAGGGGCCAGCATACGAGTGGTTCAACGCGCTCCCCGAAGGAAGCATAGACTCATGGCAGGATCTTGTCCAACACTTCCTCACTCACTTTGCCGGGAGGAAGCGTGTGAAGAAGTATTTCACCCACCTACTCTCCGTCAAGCAGCAACACGACGAGTCTCTCCGATCATTCATAGATCGGTGGACGAAGGAGACCGAAGAGGTAGAGGGGGCCGACGAGCGCATCCTCCTCGTCCTCTATCAGGGAGCTCTCCGCAGCACCCCATATGCAAGGAGCCTCATCACTGACCCCCCAGGTCATATGTGAAGGCACTCCAGCGGGGGAGTTTGTACGCCGACGCCGACGAGCTCCACAGCCACAAGAAGGACGCCCCCCCCCCCCCCCCCTTGAAGAAGACAAATCCTTCACCGGTCATGGGCACGCCCTCGGCCGGTCAGGGTGGCCAGAGCCGCCATGGCTCTGGCGGACAAAGCAAGAAAGACCGCCATTGGCGGCCGAGGATGGAACGGTCGAAGATCCCATTCACACACTCTGTTAGCACCATCCTCGAATACGTTGAGGAGCACGATCTCATTGAGCATGATCCTCGGCCAACAAAGGAGATCCATGCCATCCACAAGGGTGGCACTTACTGTCGGTTCCATGAGAATACCTCCCACAACACCGACGACTGCTTCACGCTGAAAAAAGCCATCGAGCGCCTGATTCGGCAGGGGGGACTCTCCCAATTTGTTAAAGGTGGCCCGCGCAAAAATACGTGGGTAACAAACCTGGGGGTGAACCCTCTACGAAAAAGCGGGAGATCGGTAAGCTCAGCGATGATGAGGAGGACTTTGAAGAACCCCCGACGAAGACGAACCACATTCACCTCATCGTAAGTGGGAACACTGGGGGGACTCCGTCACCCAAAGGAAGAAATGGGTCCAATCCCTCTACATTGGGGAAGTGTCCCACGTTCCAGCCCAGCCGAAGAAGGAACGGACGGAGGCAATCACCTTCACCGACAAGGATCTGCCTCCGGGGCCCGCTTCACACAGGGACGCCCTCGTCATCCGGTGTGAAATTGGCGATTCTATCATCCACCGAACTTACATAGATACGGGGAGCTCCATCAATGTCATGTACCTGGACACCTTCAAGCATCTGAAGTTGAACAAAGCTTTGCTCAAGCCGATCAAGACACCGTTGTCCGGCTTCACCGGGGACTCTATCGACGCCGAAGGCACGATAGTCCTCCCCGTGGAAGTCGGCGACGGCCCCCATCGCGCCAAAATTGATATGGAGTTCATGGTGGTCAACCTTCAGTGCGCCCATAACCTGATCTAGGGGCGGCCAGCACTGGAGGACCTGGAGGCCATTATCTCCATGAAACATTTATGCCTAAAGTTCCCCACCAGTGGCGGCATCGGCTACGCCAGGGGGAACCAGAGGATAGCTAGAGCATGCTACCTCAAGCTGACAAAACCGGCCGAGAGCGTCGGACAGAGAATTGACACCATCACTACGACTGTCGGCAAGGACGAGGAAAGGCTACGTGCCGAACCAGCCGAAGAGGTCGAGGAGGTCCCCATGGATGCCTCCTGGCCGGAGCGGGTCCTGAGAATTGGGAAGCAACTCCCACAGGACCAACGTGATGGCATCCTCCTAGTCCTAAGGTCGTATGCCATCATCTTCGCATGGGGCCCGAACGACATGCCACGCATCAGCCGGAAGGGTGATCACTCACCGACTATCAGTCGATCCGGCCTCCACGCCTATCAAGCAGAAGCGGCGCTACTTATCAGCCGACAGACGAGACTTCGTCAAGGGGGGGGGGGTCACCATGCTTCTCTCAATCAACCACATCAAGGAGGTGAAGTTGTTAGTATATATGTCC